GACATGCATTTGTTACGAAATTTAACAATAAAGAATTAAAAAGTTGCAATCGAAAGAGTTATTTGATCTTTCGATCTTTCAATCAACAAAATATCATTATTAAAACATATATATTTATTTATATGTATATGTATTTTTTTAGATCTATATGTATAACGTTTTTGCATATGTTGTACCTTGTAAGCAACTATAGTGGTCCGATTCTTTTCGCACAAAAAAGCTCTCTAAATCTGAATCAGTGGATAGTCACTAATTACTCAATGTCACTAATCACTCATACTTGGCACTAATAATCAGTGAAGTTCAATTAAAAAAGGAAGAATGTTTGATCATTATATAACTAAATACTGATATTTGCACGTTAATTTCAATTTTCCAATACCATATTCATTGAATTTAAGCACTAAAAGGTTAGTTAGATCACATAATAAAGATTAGCTAGGTTAGGGATCTCACATCCCTAATTTAATTCACTGATTACCAGTGGGATACTTAGCACTGATATCCACTGATTCAGATTTAGAGAGAGATGGAACGCTGAAGATAATGCCTATCGACTTCTCTTTTACACACTCACACACACGCGCGCGCGCGCACACACATCGTAAACTAATTCGAGGATGTCTACAATTAGGATGCTTATATATATGTATACATATATATATATATGTATGTATGTATGTATGCGTTCGTAAGCCGCGTACAATGTATACCGTGTTTTTCTCAAAGGTCAGTATAATAGCGTCGATTACTCTCTCTTGTCTTTTATATAATACATCAGCTTATAAAAATACTCTATAGAAGTGTTATAAATGTGTATAACTTTTTTTCTTCGTTCTGGAAGAACATTCGCGATTAAAGGTGCAAATCGCAATCGATCGATCAGAAACGCTTTTATTGCTCCTTTCTGGTCAAGAAATAACATAAGTGACATGCTTCTATTAGAATCTCAGAAATAATTTAGCCAAATTTGTAACCGTGCTCACTCGCTCGCGACGGCACAACTTCGTCACGTGCTCTTAGATCTTCTCTTACTTAAAAGTTCTCTAGTTCCAACAAAACGGAAGCTTTCGATAGTCAAATAGATTTTTCACAAATATCAGAGCTTCTCGCTAAATGAATTGGGCGCCAGGCACGAGAGAGCATGGCCACTCTTTCAATAATCTTTTCTACTTTTACTCGTAATTAATCCGCGACGGCAGGGGTGGGTCATCAAAGGTGGGAAAATTGTTGGAGGACGAGAGAGATAGGCTGCAAGAATCACACACCAAGTAATAATGAAATAAAGAACAATTGTATTTAACGGATTGTGTTACATGCGATAATCGGAGCATCGCTCCCTCTGCTGGACTCGATATAATCTACTTCCACGAATGATAACGATGACTTACTTCTTAACGTCGGGCGGCAATCGTACTTTATACTACGAGCTTTTATTTCTCTCCGCGGTCACCTTAGGAGGATGAATTAGACAACGAAGAGATATGCTGCAATTGCTTAATAAATTGCGAAAATCTTGTTAATCTTTTTGATATAGAACATATAATACATTTGATTAATAAATGCTTTTTTCTTTATTCAGAAAATGCTGTTAAAAGTGTTAAAACTTAAATAGTATGATAATGCATTGATTTTATCTTTAAATGGCACTTTTAAAGTAAGGTAGATGCTATAATACTGCTGTGTTTATATTATAAAATATAACTAGTAAATAATAGTAATCAATGGAATCAAAGCACTCTGTACAAATGTAAATATACTTTATATGTGTTTATTAAATTTTCCTATAAATGTTTTAGAACACTAAAGTTTGTTGCTTATTCCAGTGTATATTCTCCGAATTCCCATAAAGATTGCCATCTTCCTAGATAACAGATAGGAAGTGATTAGCGCTCTTTGGGGTTCTAATTTAATTATCACTTCTATTTCCTCGGACGAGAATTATGCCTTTGCACTAACAATATATTCCGATTCCAAGCTAATAGTATTAAAACATTACATAATGTGTTATATATTTCGAGATAGCGTATAATTACTAAAAAGAAATATATTTAATTCTCATATCTTTGTTTATTCATTTTAATTGGCCATTAATTTACGTATCAAAAGGTGTCTGATAGTTTAATATTTAATATGCGAAGGTGAGAACATCTATCTGAATATATGATCTCTGAATATATTTCCTTGGATATATCTCTGGACATATCTTTTTGATAAGCATTTCCAATAAAATTTTCTCAGACAATAATAACGAGAATAATTGCACAGCTCGTTGCTTAATGTATTCCGGTTTAGAATAAGACATTGCATTTTGCATTTTTGGAACGATTGCGAAACTTAATGATGCCGGTAAGCTTTTATAGGGACATTATAATAACTGCTGCTTGCAGTCTATAAAAACTGTGCTCCTTTAAAGTGATTTTTTAAATAGTATTTGTATTATGTGTGTATTCTGGTTATCACGATCATTCTTGTATACATAATTTTATGTGTATTAGTAACATTAAAATTTTTCTTATGTAAACACATTCAAGAATATGTCATCTGAAATATGACTAGGAAATATAAAAATATTTTTAATTTTCCTAGCTAGAACATATTTTTTTGATTGATTAATAAAAAATTTAATTATTAGACATAAATTTGTTCTATAAGAAATTATACATTTTGAGCCTTATATATTACAGCATTTTTACATATTTCATTCACTAAGTACATATTTTTACATATTTCACTCATAAGTAAATATTTTTGCATATTTTATTCATACGTGCATAATACTTCATAAAAAATTTTTTGTTTATAATTATTAGTCAAAATATAATTATTAACCAAAATATGCTAAGATATATTTCTTTCAATAACTAAACATCCAAATTTTTTGCATATTTTTTTATTTGATTAATAGAGAAATTAAATAGATATAAATTTGTTTAATAAGAAATTATGCGTTTTAAGCTCTACTAGTACATGTTATGGCATATTTTTGCATACAACACCCATAAATTTATATTTTTGCATATTTCTCCCATACATAATATTTACACATTTCAATTATTCTTTTATTTCACATTGTAATTTATGTTTACGCAATTAGTTTTTTCTACTATATAATAATAAACAGAAATACTTAAAACAAAATGTGTTTAACAAGTAAAATTTATTAATAAAAATGCTGCAGCACAAATAGAAAGGCAGCGATTATCAAGAAAAAAATTGTCAATATTATCACAAAAAAAATAATAATTTGTTATTTTGAAAGCAATTTTCTTTATTAGAAAAATCTTATACGAATAGACAATTATAACATTCAGGAAATATTGATATTTTAATTAACCCTAATCTAGTAAGTTTTGTTGATTAAGTTTTTCAACGCATAAAGAATGTTTTACTGTCAAACGGGCCAAACTTTTTGTTTAAAAAAAATTTTTATCATTTATTGTAATTAAAATATAAATTAGAACATTTAAGCATTTTAAATTTTTAGCCTAATTTTAAATGTATATGTATTTATTTAATTTAATTTTTTTGTTTTTAAACACCATGAGACTAATTCATAAATATAAAAATAAAGATATGAAATAAACAATCTTTATTAAAATTATTTTATTTTATCATTATATGTAATTTAATTTTAATATTAAAAAAGCGTAAAATTAATCAATATAATTATCGCTCAATTATACAAAAACTGTTTTTAAAAAATTGTATTAAAAAAATGTTTTTAAATGAGAGGTTATTCTTCAAGAGCATATTTTCCATTTTTAGAGCACTTTTTTCAATTTTATGGGGTATATTGTAGGTGCTTAAAAAGGGATTTTTTTAAATGTATGTTTTTATTTAAAACAGTGTTTCAAACGGGATTTTTTATTTTTGGTAGATACTACCTAATGATAACATCTATTCTCTCAATTTTAATTAAATTGAAATGTGAAATTATATGTATAATCCTAAATATGTTTTCTCATATTTTTATGCTCCGTTTTATACGATGTCTTCTTATATTTTATGCCTACTGCTTTTCGATATATTTTTAAATTGCTGTAAGCATAAGCAGAAGAAAGAGATAATACTGTATTTAAGTACTTATTCTTATTTCTAAAAGTATAAATTTGCAAAGAATTGGAAATCAGAATTTATAAGCTCTTCCTGATCAAAAAAATTCTCCTGTTGCTAATATTGAAGGTACCCTTTCAAAAAAGATGGAAAATGTTACTTTATCCTTTTTTTTTGCCCGAAAGGCTTATAAAAGACAAATAATTTATATGATAGTATACAAGTATACTCGAGAAAAAATGTTTCATATATATTTACATATAATTATACAAAATTATATATAATTATATATAATTATATATAAAACATGTCCATATATATAACATTTTTTCCCAGGTAGAATTATGTTTTTATAAATCGATTGTTTTAATTATATATATTAATTGAAATTTATTATATAAGATTAAAACACAAAATGTATCTTTATTTCACGTTCGTTTAAACTGCAAAAGAATAACGAGTGATTGAACCATATTTTTTTCGAAGACAAGTTAGGTGATGATCATTAATTGAAGCGTAAACTACGAGGTCAGGGTTGGTCAGCGAAGTAAGTAAACTCGTCATATCTCGAACACGATATCGTGCCATCCGTTTAATAACGGCGGTCGGTTTTATATCACCTGCCCATTCACCAGCGAGGGCACGTCATCGACATCACGGTTGAATATTTTTCACGTAGGCGAAGTATGCGGTTGAGGAAGTGAGCAAAGAGGTGGGAGGGGGATCACGCGCAGAAAAGGAGAACAGGCGATCATCGTTCGAATCGCCGTTCATGTCCAGGTGCTCCCCTTGAACCGATCGGTGGGGGCCGTTCTACTCCTGTTTGGGGCGCAAGCTCAGTCCTCTGATTGGTCTCTGTGCCCCGTGACGTCACCGCGCTGCTGGCGTTACGTGTAACTTCAAGCACGCGGAGCTTTAGTTTCAGTCAGTTGACTGGTATTCGCCACACCGAGCAGGTCTCATCTTAGGATTCTGAGGATTACCAAACTTTGGTTGTCAAGCTTATTCTTCTGAGATCTCATACATCACCGTATCTTTTAACGCTTCCAATCTTATTTCTGAAAGGTGAGTGGTTTTAATTTTTTATTTTACGGGCATATTTCTTAAGTGATATTATTGTTCCTAAAAAAAAATATGGCTAAAATTAATGAATTACTAGCGTATCTGTTTATCTCTTTTATAATTTTTATTTCATAAATTTTGATCTTCAATTTATTGTGCTTAAAAAGTCCGAGAAGAAAAATATAAAAATTGTGCTTTCTATTACAGCAGTTTAATAACACATATGAAATCGATAAAATTTATATTTTAGAAAAAACAGATAAAATTGATAAAAATGTCTTTCTAAAAAAAAACAGAAATTGTTCAAATAAAAATTATTTCAAATAAAAGTTTATTTTTTTTGGTATTACAAATACGTAGAAAATTTTAAATTATATATGCTTATGCTTAACTGCAATTATTCTTATTAAAAGAAATTATATTTTCTGAGTTACGAAAACCTTCAGATTTTGATTTCCGTTAAACAGAATTAATTTAGAATCTATATTACAGAGATAAAGATTTTCATATGTTGAATAAATTCTAATAGAGTAAATTTTTCGTAAAATACAATCAAGTGAAATATTCTTATATAGTTGATGGATTTAATATTAACTTTCTTAGAAGATTCTTAATTTCGTTACTTTTCGTAGATTGAATTTTGTTCCGTTGTGTTATTTTATTGGCTACTACATAATAAATTTCATAAAATGTACAGAAAACTTATTAAGACAGAAAACTATCACGAAAAGTTAATTACCTACTATGTAAATTAACTCTTTCGAAGAAAATCGGAGAAGAAAAATAATAAGATTAATAAAAAATAAAATAGTGTAAGGTAGATTATTACTTATCTATATGCAAATGATTTAATCAGAACAACTTTTGAAACTTACACAAGTGGAAATATAACTATAGTCTTCTAGCACAATATTTTAATGCTTAGGTTTGCTTAAGGCCTTTATAGGGAAAATGTTTAAGCATCTTTTCTACTGTAAAAATCTCAATTTTTTAAATATTTTTTATATCTTTCTACGAATAGATAAAAATATCATAACATTGCTTTAGCTAAGGTAATCGTTCGTATTGGCTCATAGAAATCATTGATATTATTATAAGTACTATTTGAGTTATGTTATTTTTGCGGAGTAGAATAAATTGCAGTCTTTTGTTTTCAAGTTATACGTATGTACAAACTATACTTTATTGTAACAAGAATCTATTATCTTCTTAACTTTGTGCAAATTTAATCCAACATCAGTCGTTTAGCTTGCAGACATGGGTCGAGTTCCGTGTCAATGTTCGATTATATCATAGAAGCAACAGGCTTCCAATATAATATGTAGTCTTATATGAGAGAAACAGATTTCCATTTTTTTAACTGACTGAAAGCATTATGTTTATTTCATATTGATGTGAACTTTATGATTTAATTATGATTTATTAACACATGTCATGCAACGTGAAAAAACGTAAATTTCGAAGCATTATATTAATAATGAAATTATTACATGAGTTAAAGAGTTTGAGTGTTTTACTTGAAAGATACGCATAATAAAAGCTCAAAGCGCGTAAGTTTCTTTATTATGTATTTTAGTAAATATTAATGTGTGGTAAAAATATAATATGTGATAACAATATATTGCTTTCTTACTTTAAAAGTGACGTAACTTTAAAAATTAAATTTTCCAAAAAGAAGGAAATCTGTTTCTTAACTTCATAGAAAATTATTGATTAATTAAATAATATAAGCAAGAAGAATATATTCTTAACAAATATCATTTTTGTCTTATAATCTTTAAAAAATCATTCTTTTCGATTTATGATAATATTGACTATTTTTTATAATGTTGAGTTAGTTTTCTTTTAATAACTGATAGGATAATGTTTATTTAATTCATATCGTAATATTATAATAGTAACACGAAATCAATTTAGTTCGACCTAACATGATTTTCTTATATCTATCATATATATAGGGTGGGCCTGAACAAATTTTGCAATTAATTATTCGATACAGTAAAGTTTCAGAATCTGTTCTTTGAATTGCAGTTATGAACGATCAAAATTTAAAATATCCCTTTTATTTAATCTGCAATAACTCATTAATAAAAATGTTCTTCAGAACATTACAAAGAAAAGATTTTGTGAGTAAAAGTTACTAAACTCACAGGAACTTAAAAAATATAATAACCTTTCGAAAATGAAGATTTTAAGCTCCGAAACTTGTTTTTGAAATTTAAATTTTGTAAGTTATAGCTGCTCGAATTTTGAAGTTTATAGCGCTACGATAAACATTTTGTTTCCTATATATAATTAAAAATAAAAATAATAAAAAAATGTCTTACAATTTCTTGATCTTTAAAAATAATTCTGTCGCACATTGATAAGATTAATCCAAGTTATCTTTTTTTCTATAAATAAAATAGACTATAAGATCTAATAAAAGTATAGCCTATAATGAATAGAGCGCAATGTAAAACATACTCTATAATTAACATTACTTGGATCAATCATGTTCGGACGTTTCGATTCAATTTCGAGCTATTCTTTATAACAATGGATAACAATGGATGCGTTCAATACTACAATATACTTGAGCACTCAGTGAGCTTTTGCATTTGGCGTATATTTTTGGATCTAACGGAATATGCTAATCAGATGCAAGAGCTCTCTGAGCTCAGTAAACGGTTGTAGTATTAAATGCACCCAGTGAATTTAAATCTCGCTCTTCAAAGCAAATTTAAACGTTAAATTCTGTAAATAAATTATAGATTAATTACTTTGCCTTCTATGTCGTTCTATATCGTTTTCACTTTTTAACAATTGAACTACTACGATCCAAGTAGCAAGATGACGTTTTAATGTCTCATTGATGTTAAAAACGTCATTAAGATGTTATGAAAACATTTGACGTCTCCTTGCTATTTAATTGGGAAGTATATAATGCAACTTTTGAACTTGGCAACTTGAAAATGGCCCACCTTTCGTGTGTTCTAAAACAAGAGAGAGACTCTAATTTATTAATATTTTTAAGGATAATTCAAAATTAAATTGAAATGTTTGAGAACTTGATTGAGTCAAGTAACATAAATTAAAATATGGTTTGTATATTGTGAAATATTGCGCTTCTTTTATCGCGCAGTAATCTCATCAACATTCACATAGTCTACATTGTCTGTATTTTGTTTTGATAAGTAGAAATCTTTTAATTTCTTATTTCTATAAATAAATATTATTTGTTGATAATCTTTAATCTAACCATACTTTAATTAAAAAACTTTAATTAAAAAATATTAATAACTATTAAATATATTAAATATTAAATTAGAAAAAAGAAATCTATTAAATATATATCCTCAAAAAAGAACTGCCACTCAGATATTTTTATTAGTTTTTGTTAATAATATTTTAAATATAAAAAAATTAATAGAAAAAAGTAGATGCTTTGGACTGATATTGATTAAAAATGTAATATATACAACAAGATTAATATATTAAACATTTTTGTTTAATATCTGATATTTATTTTCTGTTCTTTGATTTCTTACTTATATTGACATATTATTTTCTGTCTTTCGAGTTGGTGTAACTATTTTAATGCTCTTTTTTAATTAACATAAAACTTTTGAATGGCAAAAAATAATAACACATTTTTGATATTTGTATTTTTTTTAGAGATTTGCTTTTATTTCACAAGAAAAATATTTATTTGCAGAAAGCATTTTTTAAATTAATCTCTAAGATTTGTTTGTTTGAAGCTTATATTTTTATCTAATAATCTGCAATATATTTATTATCTATACTTTTTAATTATTAATATTTGAAATATATTTATATATACAAAATTCATAAATCCAATTTAATGCCAAAAATTACGAGAAGCTACTTTAAAAATTGCTCGTCTCTCATGTTTGTTGCAAGAAAACGCAGATAAAACATTAGTTTTCCGCAGAATCACGATTCCTTCATTTGTACAGAAGAAGAAAACAAATATGCGGAATGAGTGCTGAATTGTAAGATGCATGCCGGCCAATTCTATTTTCTATACGACACGAGTAGGGGGTAGGTGAAGGGTGATTGAAAGCAATTATGAGAAATGTCAGTCGGGATGCGACTTCGTTCCGAGAATGGGTTATAATCTCGCACAGAGAAAGAGACAGTCTTAATTCCCGATGCTTTACGACTGCGATACCTATTCCCGCGCGGCCGCTTCAAATGCGGCTTATACTAACGCCGATGAAGAATACTTCACGTCACTGTACCAACTTTGCTGCCGTGGCTCGTTAGCGCGGAACGGAGTCATTCGCTATAATAAGCTGATGTGCTCCAAGGGGATGAACATTGTATTATATTTATCGGACTCTACGGGACATGAGCGGTATAAACGCTAAAGTTTCTGTCGAGTGGGAGCGTGTCCGGGGACGTAGAGCAACTTTTAAATTCGTTCATACTTGTCCGTTCCAGCGAACTACCATATTTCTCATGTTTTTATCGATTTGAAAATATTGGTGAATAAACTTATTCTTTCGCTAGTCTCATATATACAAGCCACGATATTTTAGAAAATTTTTACTTGGTGAAGTTCCTGTCTGAAAGTTTGTGAGAATTCTTTTAAACACACGGAACATTCCAGTTTTACTATTCGAAGCGACAAGATTCTTTGATGTCCGATTCTTTGAGAAAGAAAAATATTTGAAAGTAAATTAGCATGCCTTTATTTACATCGTGATTATGTAATGATTGATTTTATTAAATGCATCTTTACCACTATTGAAGAGATAAGAGAAATGCAATGTCCTTTTATATATTTGAATAAATTTTACTCTTATTTAGTATAGCTAATAAAATTATCCAAAAAGGAATAAATAAAATATTATTATGATATTTGTATTCTACAATATATGCTGGACAAAAGTTAGTTTCTAATTGTTGGTGGCATAATTAGTTTGATAGTTTTATGATTTACTTAGACACATGTATGTTGTTGAAAATACATAGTCTCTAACTAGAGGCCATTTCAC